GAGAGAGAAGGTGAGAGAGAAAGTGAGAGAGAAGGTGAACGAATATAGCACATTATATGACCCTGTACTCAGCAGTAACTCTGAATCATCTTCCCCTCGATCACTAAAGCCAGGTACCCTTTTAAAGCTGGGTCGACTGGAGGCGCCTCGGGGGTATCAACCAAAGACCCCTCAGAGGCGGGTATTGTGTGACGTTTGAGTCGTAATTCGCTTAACGTAACATGATGTGTTTCCGAAATGCTCTACTTCAACCGGATGTACGTAAGTTAACCGGATGTATATACGTTAACCGGATGTATACGTTAACCGGATGTATATGTTAAGCGGATGTATATGTTAAGCGGATGTATATGTTAAGCGGATGTACTTTAATCTGGACGAGAAGTTAAGGTTTGTTGACAGAAATGAACAAAATGTGGGCTGGCTTGTTGTGGAGGCGGTCGAGGAAGAGGCACACACAGGAGAAGAAGAAGAAGAAGAAGAAGAAGAAGAAGAAGAAGAAGAAGAAGAAGAAGAAGAAGAAGAAGAAAAACAATAGAGGCATGGCATAAACAAAAGAAGATCTATGCACGGACAACAAATAAATAATTTTAAGACGAAAAACAAAACAAAAATAAAGTTCCTGAAGGTAAACACTGGAGAGAGAGAGAGAGAGAGAGAGAGAGAGAGAGAGAGAGAGAGTGAACGGGTGATATGATTTCAGCATTGGTTACATCAGGTGTTTCCAGGTGAACATAAGAACCTAATCAGGTAATTGGCGGAGAATACATTAAAACAAGCGGATTACAGTTGACCTTTTGGCTTGACCTTTTGACTTGACCTTTTGACTGGACTTGCATACATAGAAAATGAGCTAACGGTAAACTGTAATAAAAATCTTTCACTTTTACAGATTAAACCCTGAAATGTTTTAATTACTGAGTGTTGAGAATTTTATTGTCAGGTGAAAGGTCATGACACGAACACAAGGTCATACGCTTGCAAAAAACACAGGCATCTTAATACCTGCATAGCCACATACACCTGCACGGTCACATACACCTGAACGGTCACGGACACCTGCACAATCACATACTGTACACCTAAACAATCACAAACACGTAAATCTACACAAATACAAACACACACACCTACACAAACACATACACCTACACAAACACATACATGTACACCTACACAAACACATACATGTACACCTACACAAACACATACACCTACACAAACACACACATGCACACCCACACAAACACATACACCACACAACACACACACCCCTACACAAACACATACACCCACACAAACACATACACCCCACACAAACACATACACCATACACAAACATACACAAACACACACACACACCTGCACGTACACCAACACAAACACCACAAACACCTACACACACACACACACACACCAACACAAACACAAACACAAACACCTACAAACACAAACACCCAAACAAACACATACACCCCACACAAACACACAGCACCCACACAAACACATACATGTACACCTACACAAACACATACACCTACACAAACACATACACCTACACAAACACATACATGTACACCTACACAAACACATACACCACACAAACACATCCACCTACACAAACACGTACACCTACACAAACACGTACACCTACACAAACACACACACTTACACGTACACCTACACAAACACACACACCTACACGTACACCTACACAAACACACACACCTACACAAACACACACACCTACACGTACACCAACACAAACACCAACACAAACACCTACACACACACACACACACCTACACAAACACAAACACAAACACCTACACAAACACAAACACCTAAACAAACACACACCTACACAAACACACACCTACACAAACACACACACCTGCACAAACACATCCACCTACACAAACACGTACACCTACACAAACACGTACACCTACACAAACACACACACTTACACGTACACCTACACAAACACACACACCTACACGTACACCTACACAAACACACACACCGACACAAACACATCCACCTGCACACACACCTACACAAACACACACACCTACACAAACAAATCCACCTACACACACACACACAAACAGCATCCATTAATGGCACTACAAGCATCTCACATGATGTTGGTCTATTAAGGACAAGAGCTTCACCTTTCTTAGGCCACAGTTCGTTGGCCTTTATGAGGGAGGTTGTAAGAGGTCACCGGCCTCACATGACCTCCCAGCCACCAGAGGTCACAGTGAGGTTGTCTTTGCTGTCACATATCGTCAGTGATTTATGTTTTTATTTATGTGTTGCAAGAAAGAAAATATATTTGTCAGTAAAAATATTTTGTAGTGATGTTATGTGACTTAGTTTTATATTGCACACACACACACACACACACACACACACACACACACACACACACACACACACACACACACACACACACACACACACACACACACACACACACACCCCCACCAGCAGGAGAGTGTTAACAATCTAATATGGAAATTATATGCCACCATCAGGAAGGTTCCTTTGGGATATTATTATTATTTTTATATAATTGGTTAGGTTAGGTTAGGATAGAGTAGTTAGGAGACTAATCTTCAGGTGATCCGAGTAGCTCCACTGTGTAAAGGTCGAGTCTCTGGTACACCTACTGAACAGAACTACAATATACAGTTTTTAAATAACTTATTATGTCAGTTTATGTCAGTTTATACCAGTTTATGTCAGTTTATGCCAGTTTATACCAGTTTATGTCAGTTTATACCAGTTTATACCAGTCTATGTCAGCTTATACCAGTTTATGTCAGTTTATACCAGTTTGTCAGTTTATGTCAGTTTATGTCAGCTAATACCAGTTTATGTCAGTCTATGTCAGCTTATGCCAGTTTATGTCAGTTTATGTCAGTTTATACCAGTTTGTCAGTTTATGTCAGTTTATGTCAGTTTATGTCAGCTAATACCAGTTTATGTCAGCTTATACCAGTTTATGTCAGCTTATGTCAGTTTATTACGTCAGTTGGTAATCTTCCATCATTACAGCTTCACATAATACAGCGAGAACATATAACGAAGATAATACAAACTACAAAATACTGTATTCGTTGAAAGGACAAATACAAAATTGAAGGGGTTCACAAAATCCCGTGTGGGGGCCGAGTTGACAAATATGTTCAGTTAATTACTATAATGGTCCACGCCGCCTACACCTTCCTGATGATGTCAAAGAGGGTTGTGAAGGGCAAAGTTTGGAGTGATTACATGTATTGCCTTGTTTCCATCCATCAGAGGAGCACTTACTGAACTAATGGGAGGAAAAGAAAAGAACAACTTGCATTTATTAACAACAACTTTCATTTATTATTATGTTGAGCGTCTGATACAATATTAACGTGAAATGATTTTTGAGTCCTTTATACAGAGGAGTTTGAGTAGAGTCCGTTATTCGGAGGGGCATCGGTCTGTTATTCAGAGGGGCTCGAGTTCGTTATCCAGAGGGACTTAATTCCGTTATTCAGAGAGACATAATTCCGTTATTCAGAGGGACTTGAGTCCGTTATTCAGAGGTTTTCCAGTCTTTCATCCGCAGTATAAATTCCAGTCCTAGAGGTTAAAGGTCAGTTTTCAAATATCAGGTGGAAGCTAAAAATTAGTTTCTTTTTCACTTAAATTGAAATCGTACATCAGAGAGAGGCATCCTGTGAAGTCACAGGTTCGTGCTTCATCAAGGACTGTTGACGTAGAGGAGGAGGGAGGAGGAGGAGGAGGAGGGAAGGGGAGGAGGAGGAGGAGGAGGGAGGAGGGGGAGGAGGAGGAGGAGGAGGAGGAGGAGGAGGAGGAGGAGGAGGAGGAGGAGGAGGAGGAGGAGGAGGAGGCAAAACTGAGGGAAGGAAGAAAATGAAAGGAGTGGAGGAGGAGGAGGAGGGGGAGGAGGAGTTAGGAGGAATGGAAAAGGAGTATGAAGAAGAGGAAGAGCAGAAGTGGAGGAGGAGGAGGAAGAGGAAATAACGAAAGGAAGAGGAGGATGGGGAGAAGAAGAAGACGAAGAAGAAGAAAGGAAGACTAGAAACAGAAAGGGGTGAAGGGAAGAATAAACAAGAGTTGATAAATGATGAAAGAAACAAGAGAAGGATAAGGAAGAGGAAGGAGAGAAGGATAAGGAAGGAGAGAAAGATAAGGAAGAGGAAGGAGAGAAGAATAAGGAAGGAGAGAAGGATAAGGAAGAGGAAGAAGAGAAGAATAAGGAAGGAGAGAAGGATAAGGAAGAGGAAGTAAAGTCGGAAGGAGGAAGGAAGTCACTGGAGAGACGAAAAGAAAAATATAATTTTAGGTAAAGATGAGAAGAGTTGAGCAATGGGGCCGAGGAGAGGAAGGAGGAGGAGGGGTAGGAGGAAGACAGGGAAGA